GTCATTATCAACAAAAACGATGTAAACAATGGTAGATCTGTAGTAGAATGCCTACCTACAACAGCGGCAATTATTTTTCAGCTGTCGACCCAAGAAGTAAAAAAATGCATAAACAGGACAATCTGATTTTTCATAATTTTCTTGCTACCGTTTCTTTCATTCTCAGTCTTTCCAAAGAGCGAAAATTAAATAAAAATAAATTCGCTAAGTGTTGTCGCTATACTCATGATTACATAGGAAGGGAAAAGCATAGATTGATATTTTGTTGTATTACCAGGATGAATCAATCAACCGCTGATTTGGGACAGGACGCAGTGGCTATTCGTGAACGACAAATAGCCGCCATAATCATATTTATTGTAAGTTTTGAAAATCTGAAAGATAAGTCTCAGCGGCTCTATAGAGACATTTTGTAGACTCCTGTCAAGCAGGAAAGCTTCAGTTGGGGATAGGATCTTTTTCAAAGCATTTTGAGATGCAATCGGCAGCGCGCCGCACCAGCTGGTTAGCCAATCCCAAGCTTCCTTAACTCCCCACACGAAGGCTAAGATAAAGTCCCCTCACTCCCAGATCACCAAAGTCTCTTTATATTTTCCAGCGCTGAATGCCTCCGAAATAAAAAGGGCTAGATAAACAATATCGCGGAAGTGAAGTCCGTACCATTTTTAAGACCTTGCACCTTGAGTTTACATCTTCCAACAAAATGGACTAACGAAGATCGGTGGCAATAATTCACTGGAGGGTCGGCGACCCAATTCATGAGCCACCCTAGCCTGCAACTTCATTCGAAGGGTGAACGATGAGGCATACGTAGTTCCCTGAGGATAAGCAAATGCATAATTTGGAGCGTACTGAAACACTGAAGAAGCTAGGCGTGATCTTTCAGAAACGGATCGGTCCTACTTTTTTAAGTCCACATTAGCTTCCTACCTCTTCCCTTTGCATCCCGTACTCCGAGCGAAAACTTCAAAACCACGAAAACCCAGCTCCGAGAGATGAAAGCATCGCAGACGTAGATAGGATCTGTTCACTTCACGAACTATTCCGGAACGGATAAAAGGGATGACTACAGACTGCTGTTGATCAGTCCCTTTTTCTGATGAGCACCCATTCTGATTCCAGTCATAGTCGTAGTGACTTATTGTATGCGCTGTGTCATTTACGATGGCCAATGTAGAAGGCAGCGTTCTTTTCCTCCCAGATAAATCTGGTACTAGTTCGTCAATACAGCAAAGGCGGTAGAAGGCTCTGTTTCCCTATGAAAGAACCGATCCGCATCTTGAACCCGATCCAAGAGCCCAACGAGCGCGGCACTACACACCTTCGCCCTACGGGCTGTATTATTTTTTCTTTATCCTCTTGGGAACGTGGACAAAAAAAATAATTGAAATTGATTCCAGATAGCATTACCTGGCACATTTTGCAACGCATTGGTGGCGCTCTTCTGCCGTACTTTGCCGACTCTCAACAATCCTTTTGGACGACTGACAGCCAGCCAATCTACTGGAGAAATGATTCTTTGCGCAATGTTTGCCTTCTATTACGTTCCAATGGTCTTCTTGTAAGTACTGTTATGATTTCAATTTAGACACCTTTTGACGTCGTCTGAATGAGGGTTAGGCGTGCGCCGAGGTAACTCGACCGGTGCTTATTTAGAAATTGGAGGAAAGGGTCGCACATGGTCCAATGAAAGAACTTTTGATTGTAGAATCTGTTAGTTCCTGGCTCACTATACAGGGGGGGGGCAAAAAAAGTCATTCCGGCCGAGTCACATATGAGCGAAGTTTTCGCAGCCCAGACAGAGGAAAGTGGATATGAGTACCAGGGCGGAAGATACCCAAGATCTTCCTCTATAAGCAGGAGCTGGCTGCCGCCATTCACCTTCATGTACACCAAAATATGAAGTCATCTTCAGTCGCCGGCTACTGAGTGAGAACGCCTTGGAATTCGCCTGCCTCCAACAGCTCGTCGGAACTTCTTGAATGGAATCACCCATGGATAGCTACCTGGAGACCAGTACTCTTGATCTGCAAGACCTCAAACATCGAGCAGCTCCGGCAACGTCGCTACGGTCCAGGACATCATCTTCACCCCATTCACCAAGGCGCGGGTTGATGGTGTGGACCGGCCGTACCTGGAATGGATGAACCGATATTTTCTTCGTGGGCCCCAGACTGAGGGTGTGCGCTGGTGGCTACATCGAGCAACTCGAGGAGAATATCCCATCTTCATGTCGTCGCCCGTACCTTCTTGGAAACTTTGTACTGCTACAGGATTGGGTGACAACACATTTAATCGAAGGGCGTTGGAAAAACTTTCGCCTACTTGGAATGGAAGAACGTTGAGTACCTGGAAAAGATGGAGTATTTAAGCGGGGGTCCTGAACTAAACCCCCTCAATTACTCGGTCGGCGGAGCTAACAGGGTGGTCTACAGTGGCGGAAATCAACGATCTCGCTCAACTCCGGTACCCACTCACTTTCGCGCGGCCGAATCTCTCGATGGCGCTCCTCCAGAAGGCTGTGGCGGAGTATCATTATAGTATTTAATGTGCTCTTAATATGGTAGTAAAAATGTCCGATAAAAATTTAATAAAGTGTAACTTATAGCGCCTTGAAAGTCATGGAGGCAAAATGACTTTTTTTTGCCCCCCCCCCCCCTGTATACTCCAGACCACAGAATGTGGCACGTTGGTTACTATTTATTTAATTGATTGACAGAAGGCTGCCTTTTACCGCCCCAACTCCACTCGGTCATGCTGGCATAGGAAAAAAAGAGAGGGAGAGGAGCTGTTGCAAGAAGGAAAAGTCTTCCTCATGTACAATGGCTAACTTTGGGCTGATTACTGAGTGGGAGCTACTTCCAGTAGGCTCACGAGGAACTGTGAACCGTACAAGCCAGCTGCACATACACACTGATCAGAGATTGAAACAATCGAATGGAACAGATCAGGACCCCCCCCCCCCACCCTGTTTATTCCACAATTCTCCATACCCCAATATAGCAACGGACATTACCAACAAACAAATCTATAAACATGTAAAAAAATAAGTAAACATTTCTCAGTGATATTGGCGTCATGAAGGACAACTCTGGTTATGTTGGTGCAATCCTCCTGGTCTGCTATGATATTGTCATATTCTCCCATTTGGTTATTGCCATTAATCGCATGTCCGCTGTTTTCTTCCCATTGCACTACACTGATCACTTCAGGTGAGCTAGTAACAAGTTTTCTTTGCAGATCGTGAATTTATTCACTGAAGTCAACTGGCTATAACCAGGACAAAAAACTGGCAAAAATGAGTAGACCGTCCAACTAACCGTTGTATGAAATACGGCTCCGCCAGTAATGATGAGGAAAGTTAATTATTTCACCCAATCTCCCTATACCGCGGCCCCAGTCATCTACCTTGTTGCCTTCCTTTGCTTTGTTGCCATAACTTTTCCAACTTATCGGCCGCAGAGGGGATTGGCTTCAGAAAGCGACCCTTCTTCATACAGTATCCTCCCACTTACTCAAATGCGACTCCTCCTGAGCAGGGCGCGTCCTGCCGCTGAAGAAGATTTTTAACGTTTTTGCAACGAAATACCTTCCCCCTCGAGAGTTCCCTACTGAAACGACCCCTTCCTCACCTCCCATCCCACACACCATCCTCCTGAGTTTCCCCAACTTCCTACCAGCTTTACCCATTTTTCCAAAAGAATATTCGTTAGTTTTTCC